TAAGTTATAAGATGTAAGAAATCTACCATACTATCAGCCTGAGTTGGTTTTAGTGCTTTATGTATGCTACAGGTGTACTTAATCACAAAAGTTATGGAACTGAAATTTTTAAAAAGCATTTTCTTGTTTTTTGATTACAACAGTCTGTGCTTACTTTGTTGTTAGGGTTTTTTTCACATTATTATAAATTTGTGGGGGGTTGGATAAGACAGATAAAAAGGGGGTGTTGTTGTTTGTGTTTTGTTTTCATATGTATTTGTTTGGTTGGGTTGTTTTTTTCCCCCCTGAAGAAATCAGTTCCAGCTTCTCCAGAAAAATGGCCCACTTCAGATGGGCTTCTACATGGAAGCAGAACAAATCTTCATGGTAGATGAGCTGACTTGTCCAAGGAGAAGTGAAAAATAGGAGTAAAAGAATTTGACACAAAATCAAGATATCAAAATTAATTAGGAAACATATTATAGAAGAACTTATTTAATTATTTATAGATCTAAGGTGTTAAGCAAGAATAAATAAACAAAGATTTTTTATAAACATCAGTTCAGCCTAGTCAGTAATAAGGATAGGTTTTTAAGTGAAGAAAAGAGGAAGAAAAACAAAATAAAAAAACCCAAGTGATTCAAAGGCAATCACTCACAACCCTCCCAAAGAAGACCAACACCCAGCCAATCTCCAAGAAATGGCTATGGTCCCCAGAAAACCTCCCCTCAGTTTATATTGCTGAACGTGATGTTATATGTCATGAAATATCCCTTTGATCAACTCAGATCAGCTGTTCTGTTCTGTCTATGTACCCTCCCATCTTCTTACTGACTCCCAGCCTACTCACTGGAGAGGTCGTGTGGGAAACAGAGAAAACCTTGGCACTATGCAAATACTGCTCAGAAATAGCCAAAACACTGGTGTGTTATCAACACTGTTTTAGTCACAAATCCAAACCCAGTAGCATATGGCCTGCTAGGAAAAAATTGACTCCATCCCATCCAGAGCCAGTGCAACAACAAAAGCAGAAGTTAATATATATCAAAAAGAAGAATGGTCTCAAAATATTCATTGGTCTTTTACCAGAAAGAAATGGTAGAGCTTAAAATATCAAAGACTATAGAACTGCAGAAGTTCTGTTAAAGGAAAATGTTGGGTCACTTTGGTAAACTTTTAGTATATCTGGAAACACCATCAAATTTCTACAGGAAAAAAGACTACTGATTAGGAAATAGGAAAAATAAACAACAACTTGGATGTCTGGACAGGTGGTTCATTCAACAAGATTTTAGACAACACCAAATGTGTTCATAGAGGTGGTCGGCAGTGCATTGGAGGGTGGGGCTGCTACTGAGAGAGACCAGAACTTTCAGAAGAAACGGACTGACAGAAACCTCACGAAAGTCTAACTAAAGCAAATGCGAAAAACGTTGTACCTGAGAAGGAATAAACCCATGTACAGGCTGAGCAGCTGGAAAACAGCTTTGTACAACAGAACCTGGAGGTCCTGGTGGACACCAGGTTGACCATAAGCCACCAATGTGCACTGGTGTATTGTGTACTTCACTAGGAGGAGATCTGCAAACAGATAAAGAAAGTGAACGTTGTCCTCAATTCAACACTGGTGAGACCATGACTGTGGTGTTGCGTTTTCACAGAACATGGGCTACCCTTTACAGAAAGACATGGGCATCCTGGGGGTAGTCCAGCACAGGACACCATGACTGTCACGGGGCTGGTGTACCTGACAGACAAGGGGAAACTGGAAGAACTGTGTGGAGAGAGTGGAGTAGGTGCCAAACCACACAGCCCTGCAGAACCTGACCAAATTAGTCCTGCTTTGAGTAACCTGAATAATTTTTTCTTCCAGTCTGAAAAATTCTCTGATCATTTGATTCTATATCTTCTTCCTATGCAAATTTAAATTTTGCAAATATTTTGCAAATAATTTGAAAACTATAGTAAAATCAGATCTGTCCATTTTTTGTGTACAAGTACCAAAGATTATTCTTATGTAACTAGGTATAACACAATGAAAATAAATATTAGTTATATTACAGTTATCAGAAACTATATTAGCTATATTACAGTTATCAGGAAAGCATTTTGGCGGAGTAATCTGAAAGCAAACATGCAAATTGGTATAAGAACATTTCTATAATCTTGGAAGAGTGATAATTTGGAAACTGGATGTTTCTGATTCAAAATTACATGAATTACCTGAGCACAGTGTGTGCTTTTAGATGGCATACCTGCCATCTAAACACATGGAAGAAAACAGAAAGCCAACAAAAAATAGGCTACATTTACAGGATGGAATACCTTTCCTCATATGAAGGACTCTGTGAACTGGTTGTATGGTGGATTTATTATTTTGAAATACAAGGAAAAATTTTATAGCGGTCTCAAAGATTACTACAACATGTAGACAAAAAAAAATAATGACATCCCTGGTATAGACTGTGGGGAATAAAGTTGTATCTGTGCTTGATGCCAGCAGTCACATGGAACAGAGGCTTAACTGCCAGTCTATACTTTAAACATGTTAATGTCTAGAATCCACAGAATGCTCTACTTTGATAACAATCAAAAGTATTGCTCTGAAACAGCTCATCTCCTTGAAATCATTAACCAACACGTCATTCTTTTCCTCTTTCTTTTCTCATTTGGGTGTTATTTAACATCTAAAAACATCATTGCAGCAGTATTTGAATTTTGTTCAGCATTCCATAACTAAAATTATTCAACCATAGAATTATTGGCACAATTCAGAACATTTGCAGCTGAATACAAGCTGCTGCTGACTACAAGCTGCTGCTGGCTACACAATAGAAAACACGGTTGTCTGTTTTGTAACATCTCTGCATTCCAGGTAGGCAATTCTTCCTTAGAAAACGTTGTTGCCATAAACTAGAAAAATATTATTTTCCAGTATACATAAATTTTAAGTACTAGTGCCATCAGTTCCTTGGTATTGTATCCACTAGTAATTTACCTGTTCGTATTGAAACCATATAGACTGAGCTTTAGAGGTAGGTTATACATCCACATTAATCACAGTTTGCTGGTAGTTGTTTTACAAGGTACAGATGCAGCACATGGATTTTGGCAAATCTAACATGCCCCATAAAAAGCACTTTTCTTTAAATAAGTGCACCTATTTAATTTGAGTACACTTGAAATATACGAATATGAATGATATTCAGACTCCTTAACCATACATTTATTTTCTAATTTAAAATTCTGTTTAGTAAGATAAAAAGAAATACCAATAACATCATATACATCAATACATCCACCTTACTGAAAAGCATTCCTGCTGTTGATTTTCCAATTAAAAACTAGGAATACAGTAGGATGAAAAGAAAATTGTTGAAAAGAGAAATGGCAGAGTAATACAAGCATTTTGAAATTACATATCACCAAATAGGACTGAAATATCGCTCTTTTGTTGCAAATATACAATTTCTTTATGCCTTTCAAACTCATGCAGCTGAGAAAGAAAAGCATAAAAGAGAGCGGATAAGAACTTGTTGTAGTCTAACAATGAATGCAAACAAAACATTTAAAGAATACTATGCTTTTTTTTTAGTCAGTGAGAAATGATCTTTGTGTTGATTGTTTTGCTTCAATTCTACTGAATACTAATGTTTGATCTTCAGCAGAATTCTCTAAAAGTTCAGATCAAACTTAAAATTCTATTTGATATTTATTTGAAAAGTCTATTTAACTCATGTTCTCTACTGTCATCAGTTTTCTGAATTTCATAACTATCACAAAATATTACAATGACAGAAATTCTAGTGGCAATGAAGAAATGAGGAATTGCTTTGTGTGTGTATACAACAATTACCATATAAGATTACAAAGTGTAGGAGTTGGGTTACAGGAAGGATGCTGGATGAGGCATCCTGGGAAATGAAGTCCTGAAGTACTCCCACACATGGGCAGTGAGATGCCCTTGGTGGTTGGTTAAGAGAATCATGTGTTACTTTGAACCCATGCATATATAAGGTGCTGTTTGATTTAAATAAGAGGAGCTGGCCAGGTCCCTGTGATTTATTTATGTATTGCAATAATACACAATATTAAAAGACATGCAATAATTCAATATCATACTAACTACTTAAAAAGCAAATATAATGATATTACAGTTGTCGATAACATAGTACTCTTCATTCTTAAAAAACAGTACGCTATCATTAATGACAGTTTGGGGACCTTGCAATATACATAAAGATACTGATTTTCAGGTTGAACTAATAGCTTTTCCTGATCAGTCCATAATTCCAGAAATTCATTTTCAACTCACTGTCTGTCATCTGGTAGCTGTTGTCTCTCTGTCTAAAAGAAGGACTAATATATGAATCAACTTGTATTTATTGTTGTACATATGCTGTTATTAATCCTGAGAAAAAAGTTATTCAGTATTCCTCCCATTTCAAACAAGAAAATACTGTTAACGTGCTTTTTACTATTTTAGTCACCATTGAAATGGGTTTGTGTCACTTTTCTTTATACTTAATTAGTTTTGTTTAATTTCCTAGAGTCAACGACAAAGGTATGTGTGCATCTGTCACATAAGAAGCTGAGACAGCAGGGATTTCTCAGCCTAGAAAAGAGAAGGCTCAAGTGGGATCTTGTCAATGTGTATGAACACCTGCTTGGGAGAAAATGAAGATGAGGGAACCAGCTTCTTCTCTTTTATAACCACTGACAGAACAAGAGGCAGTGGGCAAAAATTAAAACACAAACTTCCTCTTTCATCTGAACAGAGGAAAACAGTTTTTTGTTCATTTTTTCTTTTTTTTTTTTTTTTTAGTCATGGTGTTATAGTGTTTAAACACTGGACCAGGTTGTCCAGACAAGTTGTGGAGGTCTCCATCTGTGGAGTTATTAAAAAATCCAACTGGATATTCTGCTGCAGATGATCCTGCCTGAGCTGGAGGTTATACAAAATGACATCAAGAGGTCTTTGCCGTCCTAAATGATTCTGTGAAGTCAAAATAAGAAATGTAGGCACATTCTTTCTTTTGTGAGGAGTGCTGGTTTTCTTTGGAACAAAATCTGTATGTGAATACAAAAAGAAGCCACAGAAATCTAGTAAAACCAACATCTCAGTGCTTGGTGTGAACTGTGTAACATTTTTCTTACAGCTAAATATTCCCCAATGACTCTAAGTAGAATCTCTAAAAAGAAAGCCAAAAGACTACTTCTAAGAGAAATATGAAATCATCAAGAATTATTGAGATACTTTAAATTCCCTTTTAACTATGTCAGTAAATTATTACTCAAGTCTTAATGTCAATGGACCAGAGGCAGGGACAAAGAGACATGGTCTGACCATACCTAAAAATTGTCTTCATTTCACTTCATGTACCAATGCAGAAAAAAAACAGAATCAACTCAGGATGTATTCATGTAGATATTCATATAAACCTATCCCAGCATCTTACCTCTATTTTGCAGGTAGACCTCGGCCTCTTAGTCTCAAAAGAGAACAGAGAATGACTTGTGAGATAGGAATTCGAAGATTGCTCATGGGATGATGAAATGTATGAAATATAGCTGTAAATGATATTGCTTAAAAGCACTTCCTTCTGTGTGACTAGATATGACATATTATGCTCCAGACATTATTATATGCAATAATGAAGTACATGGGAGTGGAACCTTCCCCCCTGGCCTTGGTCATGCTTAGGTTTATCTTTGTAAATTTTCTCATTATTTTGCATCCTTCACCTTGTCTGCCAGCTCAAGTCCCTCCAGCCCTAGGCACACAAAGGGCTATGGTTTTTCAGGCAGTGATGGAGAGGGGGGAGGGTATCACCCCTTCCTCAGCAGGGTCACTCCGGGGCTGAAGCTGGAGCAGCATGGGCAGTAGTCACTGGCCCCAGCACAGGGATTTAAACCAGCAACACCCAGATCAGACCTATGATGAGGGTGAGCTCCTGCACTGCCACGATAACACATAATTGGGCCATCCCCTGCTAAGAGCAATCAGCATATTTACTAGGCTACAGAAAAAAGAGATGAGAATTTAATCATGTTAAATGCCTACATGTGTCTACATACAGGCATTGTTTTTCTCTCAACTAGGTAATAATTCACAGCTATGTTCTCATAGAAAATAAACAATGCAATTGTCTGTAAATAAACTGTTTTTTCTCTCTTCCTTCACACTTAATTACAAACTTCTACTTGATAATTCAAAGCCAAAACTTATGTCCTTTCCCAACAATCTGATTAGAGAGCAAAATATGTTTAACCTTTCCTTTCCTTGCATGCAGTCTAATAGCTCCTTACTTTCCAAATATTACGCCACTTTAATTAAAGTGGTTTGTGCAAAATAAATCAGCATTACAAACAGTTTAGTTTTCCCTGACTGAATAAACCAAATCTGGCCACGAAACTGGAATAATAGAATTAGGTCACTTACTTGGAATGTTTTTGATAACAATGACATGAATTAAAAAGATGTCTTTCATTGTAGATGTCTGTTGATGCAATATAAAAATTATTTTAATACAACCTGTTATTGCTTCAAATAGCAATATATTGCAGAGTTTATTGTTGATTTGGTTTGCATATAAAAATTTATAGTGTGTTTGATTAATCTAAGACCTAGTGAAAGCATGTAGAAATTTATACAAATGACTAAAAGACATGTAAAAGAAAAAGATTTAAAACCAGAGTTTTCAAATCAGTACACCGCAAAGCCGAAAAAAATGTGCTGAATAGTTTATATACTTGGGAATGTCATAAGAGAAAAAGTTACAGAGGAAGGAATGGAATAGTAGCATGACATGGTATAAAAGCTAGAGCTGTTTAAAGGCTTGAGAATGGTTTAAAGCTTAACTGAAAAATGTATTTTCTGTCTTCATCAAAATTTTGACAGGTAGGAAATTCCCATTTAGACAGAACTTCCCTTTCTACTTGGGAGAACTAAAAGATGTCTGCAGAAAGATCAGCTATAGGCCATTCAAACAAAATAATGTTTAGAACAACTTTATAGCTCATAAGCAAAATTGGACATGCTTAGATTTAAAACAAATGCTTTCATTTATATTTATTTTTGCCTTCATACATCTCCAGAGATAGTCCTAGCATAGATTTCTCATTTCTAGTTTTTACATATTAGGCAATTAGACATAAGCAAGCCTGTAAGTCCATATGGGATGTATCGAAGGGTACCAGATGAGCTAGCAGATGTTGCTGAGGGGTAAACCTTATAATTTTCAAAGCGTAATGGAAATTTGGAAAGTTTTCTGATGACTGGAAAAAGGCAAACATCACATCCTTCTTCTAGAAGAAGGATTCAGGTAAAGGTCTCACCTCACTTGTTATGGGGCAAATCCTATCAGAAGCTATTTCTAAGCTCATGATAGACCATAAGGTAACTGGAAGCAGCTAGCATGCATGTACCGAGCGTAACTCATGCCTGGTCAACCTAACTGCTTTCTGGGACAAAGTGATTGTTGCTGAATGCAGTGGATACGGCACACTCTAACATTAGGAAGGTCTTTAACACAGTCCATCATGGTTTCCTTAGCACTGAAATTTTGAGATATGGGGTAGACATGTAGGCAGAAGGGTGCATAGAAAAATATCTGGACTGCTGGAATTGAAGACTGGTGGCTAGTGCTGGAAAGTGCAGATACTGGATAGCAGCTAGTGGTGTCTTTCATAAATCAGTACTGGAACAAACGCATCTTAATGTCTTTATAACAACCTAGATCATGGGACAGCATGTGCTCTCAGCAAATTTACAGACAATCCCAAAGAGGGAAGAGCACTCAGAGAGCACAACTGTTATTGGGAGGGACCTGGATAGGTGGGAGAAATGGGCTAACAGGTGATGCCTTAGGATTCTCAAGATTTTGTAACATATAGATTTTTAATATAGCTGTATAGTTTCTAACACTTTAGAACAGCAGTTTACTAAAACTCTTTTCTAATGCTTCATATCAAATTCCCAAAATTCTTCCAGTTTTGTTTAATATTCTCTTCAAAGAAAAGACCTTGGCAAGTACATCTTGCCGGGGACATCTACCTAGAAAGATATCATTGTAGACAAAGCAACCTAGAAGGCCTGGAGACCTTGGAGAAGCTCCAAAGAAGGAATGCGACTTGACGGAGATGATGGTGATGCAGAAAGGGGTCTGAGACCTCTGACTCAGTTCTGGGAAGGCATGTCGAGGAGTGGACCTGAGGGAGGTTCTGGGGGGCAGGCAAATTTTGGATTGGAAATATCCATTAGATATGATAATTAATTAGAGCTATAAAATTGTAGAAGCCCAATGCTGTATTGTACACTATTGTACACTTCTGTATATAGTGTGCCTTAAAGCGCTTTAATTAAAGACTACTCTCCACTTTATCTATATTAATATTGTCCAGAAATTTTTTTCTTCCATTTTAGGCAAAACAGGAACCTCAGGAAGTTCAGTAAAAGTGAATGCAAAAGTCTGCACCTGGAGAGGAATAAACCCAAGTAATAGTGCGTGGTGGGTGTTGACCAGCTGGAAAGCAGCTTTGCAAAAACTGGTAGACTCTAAGAAGATGATGAGCCAGCAGTGCATCCTTGCAACAAAGGCCAATTGCCTTTTGGGCTGCACGAACAGGACTGTAGTCAGCAGACTGAGAGAAGTGATCCTTGTCCTCAATTCAGCACTGGTGAGACCATGACAGCAGTGTTGTGTTTTCACAGAACCTGGGCTACCCCTTACAAAAAGACATGGACATCCTGGTGGTAGTCCAGCACAGAGCACCATGACTGTCATGGGGTTGGTGCACATGACAGACAACGGGAAGCTGAGCAAACTGGGTTGACTGAGCATGGAGAAAAGAAGGCTCAGGGAGACCTCATTGCAGCTCCCTGATCTGAGGATACAAAGTATGTGGAGCAACCTTATGGGGATGCCCTGTGATATAGTGAGAGGCAAAGGATATTAGTTAGAAAATGGGAAATTCTGATTGGATATAGTGTTTTGTTTTCACTGTGTGCATGGCCAAATCTTGGTGCAAGTTGCCCAGAGAGGAGTGGAGGGAGTGTTGAGCCCTGGAGGTATTCAAGCCTTGTGGCCACAGCCTGACCTAATTAGTCCTGCTTTGAGCAGGATATTAGACTAAATAACAAGAAGTCCCTTCTGGCCTGAATATTTTTCAATTATGTGATTCCACTATATTCCTTTGTGGCTTGTTGAAAATGGTAGTTGTTTCATTATTTTGATTGAAATATTCTCAGTGGCAAAGAAATTCAAGTCTATTTCCCCAACTAGCCTATCTGGACTTCATTAATTTTAACAGCTCTGGACAGTGACAGCAGATTCTCTTTAGATAGTAAGTAAGTCTAACTTTAGACAGAAATTCAGTACTATAAAGTATGGACTAGAGAACACATAATAATGGTTGCTGAATTTTCATTTAAGGTTAACTAACTGTAGTGAGTAAGTAGCACTGAAGCAAAATCCAGAACTTTACCATCTTAGTGACAATGATATCTTACTAGGTTGCAGAATCAGACTTTTGTGAATTTTTTTCTTGCCTCATAATTATTTCTTTCATTTTCTAATGCAAATCTAGGAGGAAGGCTGGAGAGGGAAGAAAAAAATGAGGGAGTCTTTTAAGTCTGGTAACTAGGGAATTTTCCAGCTAACTGGGCAATATGAGCATCAACTCTTATAGAGAGAGGACCTTGATTTCCCAAGGTCTAGAGAAAAAATGTGCAAAATACTTATTCTCTCTGTATTTTTTTTATTTTTTTTTCTGTCCAGACAAGAGCCTACAATTAAAATGATAAAACCAAAACATACAGGAAGACAAAACAAAAAGTTTATTTGAAATCTCTCTGTCAATTGTTTTTGTAAGTTTGGAAAATGTTTGAATAAAAGAACTTGCAAATGTGAGACAGATGGACTGAATGCTCTGTCATTTTAGCAAAATCCTTGCTCTTAATAATTCATATATCTTGATTTCACTGCAAGTATTTAAAGCTAAAATAGAGGCTGGAAAACATTAAAGCTTGAGTTTTCAAAGCATGGGATGTATATATTTAATGAGGCTTATACCAAATGATATAGGATATTTTATAATCAGCATGAAATGAAGTTAAAAACAAAAATATCTTACTCCTCTGTGAATTAATATCCTGTTTTTACTCATCAATAATTCATCTAGTTCTTGTGGCTACTACACAGTGTGAGCTCTGTGTCCTAGATCTGAACAAAGTAGAATTTCTGCCCCAATTTTGACAAAGAATTATATAATTTCTAGATCAAAAGATCTTTAGGCACATATAGAAACTATAGCTGGAAGGACTTTCATTTAATTTTTTAATTTTATATTTCTTCGCTTTGTTTTACAATTCTCTGCTGTCTGGATGTGTGTTGCATTCTGAAACTTTAGCTTTAACTGTAGCACTGTGAGGAAGTGTTGTAATAATATCTGTGGAAACACATATCTTGTAAGTCGGAGGAAACATACCATTATTTCAGGCAGTTTGCATTCTGATTGCATTCCTTCTGTTCATGGAATTAGATGGCTAAGAGTGTCAGCTGCTCGGACCTTAGGGGAGGAGAATCAAAACTGAGGCCCCTGCATGACTTTGCAACTCATAGCAAAAGAAGTGAGCAAGATTATACACAATGTCTTCTGAACACAGCCCATCAGAGCATAACTTTCAAGCAGCAAAGTACTAATCTGTTGGTTGACAGGGTAACACAGGCACAGAAGTTAGTGTTGAATGTAATTGCAGCTAGGTGAGTTAACAGGCCATATGCTCCTAGAAATCAGGGAGTAAACTTGAAGGGAATTCTAATGTTTATTCTCCTTCTCAGTAAGTTAGCAGCTTTCAGGTATAATGTATATCGTTGGAAGGACCTTATCTTTTAAACCGTTTGTCAGAAAATTTAATCTAGATTCATTCCACTTAGCTTCTGGTACCTTCCCAAGGAGTCTAACCTAGGCACAAAAATGGCATAAACTATTTCTGTACTTAAAAGAATGACACCTCAAGAGAGAAATTCAAATGAGATAAGATCTGAATCATTCTGTGGAGAGCCTACTTCTCTCCAATAAGTATAGAGGGAGCTTTGAGTAGCTACACTCCTAACACAAATATCCCAGTTTGAAAACTAAAGTGAGATTGAATAAATCCAGATTGTGTGCAGTTTTAAGCAATTGCTGGCTTAAAACCCTACAGATCCATGGCAAGTTAATTGGGAAGGTACTAACAGGATTGCATGAAAGCATAAGCACTGTGTTGCCTGTTTAGTCCTGTCTTTCTGGTGCTACTCAGAAAAATAAGAATTTCATCTTTCCCTTGCAAAAACCCTAAAAGTATAAATCTATCCACAACTCATCTTTCTGAAAAGAAAATAATTGACAATGTGGTCTAACAAGTAATAAAACAATGCTTCCCTGAGAAGGCAACCAGAGTAAAAATCTCTCTCACAAGGATATAAACTGTGGTAAGGCAATTTTTTAAACACCTCTACAGACTAAAAGATGTGAATATCAAAGAACAAAAGATCTCACATTGACTGGCTGGTTGTATCAATTGATTTATCAGCACTGCTAAGGCTGCTCTAAACATCAGAGGTACCTGTCTGAAAGTAAGCCACTGGAGAGTGATTCAACTAATTCTGAAGTAATCTCCTGGTCCAACCTTTCCTCAATGAACCACAGTTTTTTCCAGACATATTTTGCTGTGCACAAAGAGACTCTGAGAACAAGATGTACATTCCCTTGAGCACCCACAAAGCATTTACTGTCTGATTGATACAGCTGAGAACTAGGACTTGCAAGATACTGGGCTAAGCATTAATATTCTCCCTATTCTAGCCTAGTGTTCACTTGGGTCTTATCAGTCATCCAAGAAAGAGTTGGCTTCCATCACTTTTTGGAATATCATAACCCTTGATATTGCCAAGTTGAGATCTCCCATCTCCCTGCTCTTTTTTACCTCAGATTTTTATGCACTGTGTTAATGTTTCTTTTCTAGATCCCTGGGTTGCTATTACCATCTCAACAATTCTGTTACAGTGTTTTCAGTCTACTTATCTTGCCTGGCTTTACCTTCTGTAGTCTGTCAGCTGCAATGTTTGTGATAAAACTGGGTGAATGTTGTACAGCCATTCTACAAAGAGCTGAGCTTTGAGTTACAGGTGGTTCAAGCCCTGGCCATTGGTCACATGAAGGCTTGATTCAGAAGCCTAAATTTAGCCTCTAACCACCATTAAAGGTGGTTTAACTAGGATATAGTTATCATTACAGAACAATATCATCTCTGTGAGATTTGTAGATTTATGCTGTTCTCCTGTCTGGCAAATGTCTTTTTATATGGGTTCACAACCTTTCTAAACTTTGATGGGAAGTAAGGACAAGCTCTCTCGCTTGGCTGCTCTGAAAGTGTTCTTGCCCCAATCTGTTTGAAAGCAGCTAATTCTACTCTTTGTTCATCAAGGAAGTCCTTTGGTACAAGACATTTTAGGTTGAGGAATACCTAAGCTGCAGATTCAGATATCCTGTGATGGTTTTGGCTGGGGCAGAGTTAATTTTCTTGCTAGTATGGGGCCGTGTTTTGGATTTGTGCTAAACAGAGTGATGATAATAAAGAGATGTTTTTGGCATTGCTGAGCAGTACTTACACAGAAACTTTTCTACTTAGAGGCCTTACACAGGCTTTTCATAGTGTCCTACTGACGAGGAATTTGGGGTTATATGAGAGGCTGGGAGGAAATACAGTCGGGGCAGCTGACCCCAACTGACCAAAGGGACATTCCATACTATATGACATCATGCTCAGCATATGAAGTGGGAGAAAGCAGGAGGAAGAGGGGGACATTTGGAGTGAAGACGTATGTTTTCCCATGTAACCTTTCATACATGATGGGGTCCTGCTTTCCTGGAGATGGCTGAACCTGCCTGCCCATGGGAAGCAGTAAATTTCTTCGTTTGTTTGCTTGTGTGCATGGCTTTTGTTTTCCCTATTACACTCTTTTCATCTCAACTCACGAGTTTTCTAGCTTTTACCCTTCCAATTCCAACTGTCTCTCTGATCCTGCTGGTGGAGGGGTGAGAAAACTGCTGCATGGTACTTGCTTGTTCACTGGGGTTAAACCATAACGTATCCTCAGGTGTGCTGTAACACAAAGGAGTCATACATCCACATCCTTCCTTAATTGCCAAACTCTGTTTGTATTACTAACTGTCAAACAGAAAGCATTTCTTTTTTTGTAGGGAAAATGACCATAATCAGTCCTTATGCTTCTCGACAAGAAAATCAAGTAAATGGAGATTTTTAACAGATCAAATTTGAACTCAGATGTCCTAATCACAGACATTATGTGAGACACCACCCAGAGTACTGTGCCCAGGTAGGGAGTCCTCAGCATAAGACATGAACCTGTTACAGTGGCTCCAGAGGAGAGCCAAAAAAATTGTATTGGGTCTGGAGCACCTCCCCTACAAAGACAGTCTGAGACACTTGGGATTGTTCAGTCTGGAGAAGAGAAGGCTCTAGGGAGACTTTATTGCAGCCTTCCAGTACTCAGAGAGGGCTTAAAAAAAGAGAGTGAGTGACTTGTTACATAGACAGACAGTGACAGAACAAAGGGGTATGGTTTTAGATTGAAAGAGTAGAGATTTAGATTAGATGTTAGGAAGAATTTCTTTACTCAGGGGGAAGTGAGGCACTAGAACAATTTGCTGGGAGTTGGGGATGCCCCATTCCTGGAAGTGTTCGAGGGCAAATTGCATGGGGCCCTGAGCAACCTGGTCTAGTGAAAGGTGTCCCTGCCTGTGGTAGGGGGTGGGGAGGGTTAGAATAGATGATCATTAAGGTCCCTTCTTACCCAAACTGTTCTGTAATTCTATGATTATGCAGTTTCTTGACTAAGCAAGTCAAGGACAGTCTTTTTTCTATTACTGAGTGTGGAACTACATTTATTGAAGAAGTATCTTTTCATATTCACTATAAATTAACATATACCAATTGCATTACATATCATGTTGCATGCCTACATTTTATTAATAAGAAAAGTTTTCCTTTTTAAAGTTAATTTATTTCTTAGACTGGTCAAAATTTTAAATCACAACATTTTGTTTCCATAGGGATTAATTACAAAAACAACCACACTGGCAGTCCTGTGCCTTCTGCAATGCAATCACTCTCCAAGACATTTGGTACTTAATGTAGAAATGAGTAGGCTGAATCATGTTTAAACTATTTGGGTGCTCTGAGGTGGACATAACAGGATCAATTGAGCTATGATCCTTGTGCTTCTCTAGAATAACAAATAGAACTTCTCTGGTGAAGAGATTAAGTATTTTCCCAAATAAGGAAATTGTAACTGAGCTGCTCTGGTGTGTGGGATTCATAGGTACGAAAGTGCATGGAATTCCACCCTGAAAGGAATCATCTTCAAGTGACACATAATTTTGCCCTTGAGAAAAGCATGAAGTCTCCTGATAACTGACTTACTCGTCAGTCACTTAGGTGGCTTGTCCAGCCTCCATAATGAATGTAAACAGCATCGTAGCATTGTCGGTATCTTAATCAGGTTGTTATAATTTTCTACACATGTTACAAAACAGCCTATTGTCTTAGTAATTATGGGGCTTATCAGCAAAATCATTATTGGCAGGCAATTTTAGTAAGATCTGTGGCAGGTTTTGTCTAACATCCGAGGAGAATTTATCTCCTGTTGGTTCTGCATTCTAAAATATAATTAAGAGAACAGAATTATAGAGATGCCATGAGGTGAACAGGCCCAGAGGAAACACACAGCTGCAGAGAGCTATAAACTGCAGACATATACCGAAAATATTTATAAAATTATTGTGAAAATGAAAGAAAGAAATACTTGGTAAAATTTTGGAAATTAGGAAAACAGACATAAAGTTAAAATGGTCTGAAGATAGCAAGATAAAGAGTTTCTTTGTGACGGAAACTATAGTCAAGAAAACAGGAAAGGAGAGGGATTGGACGTAGAAGAAAAAGATTGCACACAACTAAACATGAAGGTTGTGTAAAAGGACAGCCCAAAGGGAGTGAAAGTGCCATTGCCCTGGGAAACAAGTTGCTTAATGCTCTGAGAAGGTAGAAAATAATTGGAGTTCTTGGGGTTTTTTTGTGTGTGTTTTTTTGTTTGTTTTTTTTTTTTTTAATTTATATAGCTGGTGGTGGCTAAGGGAAAGAGGCACTGTATGCTTAAAATCCCTGGCCTTCTAGCTGGATTTTACACAGTTCTTGTCAAGATGGAAAGAGAATAAACCAATGACAGCAAAGCAGGTTTTTATTTTATCCACACAAATCTCTAAGCAGACAAGGATATATGGGAAGGAAATAAATAAAAGACAGAAAAAAACCCAAATTAAGTAAGGAATAAAAAAAAATCAACAAACTTGACTGAACTAATATAACAGGGCTCAGTTTTATTAGATCTCAAACAAGTAATTGTTAAGTGCTCACTGTATTGCATGCATAAGAATGTTATAAATAAATGCAATAATACACTGCTTCTCTAGCCATCTTCTTTTTTTCTGTTACAGAGGAAATTAATATGAAAATATGTCAGCAAAAATAAATCTTAGTAGAATAGCCAGTCAAAAAGCAAGATAAAAGTTTCTTATGCTAAGAAATGCTTAGTTGTCCATTCCATCCTCCCAAAGACTGTCTTTATCAACACATCATGTATGCTGTATTTTGTGCCTGGATGCCAAAATGCATGAACAACAACAAAAAAAAATCATCATGACAAGGGTGAAGACAAATGTTAGCCTACACAACAGATTTTCTGGGAGTGTGGTTTTATAATACAAGATAGAGAGAAATGGAAGTACTGTTCAAATCTGCATGCATGTTTTGATATTTTCTGCACTTACGAATATATACCGACCCTGCTTGCCAGTGATAAGAAAATCCTATCTTCTATAGAATAAAAAACCCCAACATAATCATGGTCTATTCTTACTTTAATCATATTTTCCTTGGATTTGTATATCTATTTTTTAACCTTACATATGCCAAAACATTTTCATTGCTCTGTTATGTGGTAAATACTATGAATCTTACTGAGTTACAAGCTGAAATTACAGCCTGCCCCTTAGTTATAACTGTGATGTGGTTGGGCATCAGGGTGGTGATGTTAATTCCTAGGTGGCTCAGGAACTCCCCAACCAGCCATTTGCATACATGAGATAACTGATTGGAGACAAAGAACTTCCTTTTAACCAGTTGACTGACTGCACCACTGGCCACTTTCACCATAGGGCAGCTACCTGATTTTACGGAAGGTCTCCAGGTGGGAATTTTGGACAGTTCTAGCAATTCCCCCAGGCAGGTTCCTGATATGCATTGTCCAAATCTTTGAATCATAGAATCATAGAATTTGCTAAGTTGGAAGGCACCCATTAGGATAATCAAGTCCAACATCTGGCCCTGCATAGGACACCCCAAAAATCACACCATACGCCTGAGAGCATTGTCCAAACCCTTCTTGAACTCAGACAGGCTTGATGCTGTGACCACTTTCCTGGGAGGCCTTTTCCAGTGCCCAACCACCCTATGGGTGAAAAATGTTTTCCTAGTATCCAGCCTAAACTTCCCCCAACTCAGCTTCATACGATTTCCTTGAGTCCTGTCACTGGTCATGAGAGTGAAGAGATCGGTACCTGCCCTTTACTTCCCCTCACTAGGAAGTTGTAGACTGCCATGAGATCTAGTCTTTCCTCAGTATCCTCTTCTCCAGGCTGAACAGACCAAGTGACCTCAGCCACTCCTCATAAGGCTTCCTCTCCAGACCCTTCACCATCCTCATGGCCTTCCTTTGGACACTCTCTAATAGCTTAATGTCTTTTTTATATTGTGGTCCCCAAAACTACACACAATATTCAAGGTGAGGCTGTAAAAGTGCAGAGCAAAGTGGGACAATCACCTCCCTCAATTGGCTGCAATGCAGTACAGTTGGCCCTCCTGGCTGCCAGGGCACTGCTGACTCATAGTCAGCTTGCCATTGACCAGGACCCCAGGTCCCTTCCTGCAGCAAATCTCTCCAGCCTCTCATTCCTCAGTCTGTACAAACAACAAGGGTTGCCCTGTCTCAGGTGCACAATCCGGCACTTGCCCTTGTTAAACTTCACACTGGTGGTGATTGGTGGTGATCTGTGATTGCCCAGCTCTCTAATTTCTCAAAGTCTCTCTGCCCCTGAGGGAGTCAACAGCTCCTCCTAATTTTGTGTAATTGGCAAACTTACTGTTCCTTCAAGTCCCATGTCCAAGTCATTTATGAAGATGTTGAAGAGAACTGGGCCAAGGAGGAGCCCTGTGGAACCCCACTAATGACTGGATGTCATTCTGATATAACCCCATTGACTGTAACTATTTGTGCCTGACCTGTGAGCCAGTTGCTCACCCATCATGTAACACATGATTCAGCTGTGTGTTGGACATTTTGTCCAGAAGTATACTATGAGAGACAGTGCCAAAAGCTTTGCTGAAGTCCGAAAAGATTACATCTGCTGGCTTTCCTAGATCAATTGAGAGAGTTACCTTGTTGTACAAGGAAATCAGGTTCAACAAGCAGGACTTCTGCCTCGTGAAGTCATGCTGGCTGTGACTGATGACAGTGTTGTCCTCCAGGTGTTTGTCAGTACTTCACAGAATAATCTTTTCCATGATTTACCAGGCACTGAAGTGAGACTGACAGGCCTGTAGTTTCTAGGGTACTTCTTCCTTCCCTTCTTGA